AAAAAGTTTCTTCCATCTGTGGAAATTTTTGATCAAACATTTCTACAGTGGAATGAAATGGGAAATGATCTCTGCTGGTTTCCCTTCTTCCTACTTTGGTCCCCTTACCTTTGGAAATTTGGGAACAATTAGTAGAGCCTCCAGAACTGCCAAGGATAGGATGTTATAGATTGTAGCGGGAAGAGTAGGACTATATGAAAATATGGCAGGTCCCTTGTATCCTGAGTACATTGAGTATAGAAGAATTTCTGCTTGATCAAAGTCTACTTTCACAGCATGGATAGAAACAGGAATAGATTTCTAACTTACACTGAATTGTTGTGTTACAAAAGAATTTGATTACTGCCTGCCTTAAGTGATTGTACTAAGATACTGTATTGTTTTATGCCTTGTAGGTAGAAGAACAACCCTATTATGAGGATAACCTATATATGTATCTTTATTTTGTTATCTTCATCATCTTTGGATCATTTTTTACCTTAAACCTCTTCATTGGTGTCATTATAGATAATTTCAATCAGCAAAAAAAGAAGATAAGTATTTAAAGTGTTTGCTCTATGTTCTGGAAGTAAAATCTACAATTAAAAAAACCACAAGAAACCCCCTTAAAATGTTAGATAAAATATTAAATTTTTATACACACACACACACACACACACACACACACACACACAACTCTCTTGTCATCCTGAGTTTCCAGCAGGTTTTTGCCAGCTATAGTCACCATTATTAGTTCATTTCTTTTTTACTTATAATCCTCCCTAAACACATCTTCACTTTCAGCGCAGGAACCAATATGAAGGTAAAGAAATTATTTTTTATGTGCTGGTTGACAAAACAGGGGAAAAAATTAAGGAACTAAGAGTAGATAAAACTAATTTCTTCTAAATTATGTTACTATATTACATTTTTTCACTGGGGGGTGGGGAGTATCCTGAACATGATTCCAACACAATAACTTAAATTGAGAAAGTGTAGTTTGTTCAAAGTTGTAGCTTTATGAGTGATTTTGGGGGGGGGGGGTGTCAGGACATTCAGTGCAGCATGTGATCTAGTCTTGATGACCTTTACAACAATTGCCTGTTTATATTTGGAATATTAATTTCATAGGGGGAGAGTAGATGTAGTTATTTTATAAGCCTATTTATTATTCAAAAGGATGATCAGGATGGGTAAAAGCATAAAACCAAAAGTATAAAGGGATCAACAAATAAAAACATAGTAAACTAGACATCTAAATGGTTGAATCACAGAAAACACAAAAAGGAAGTGAATTCTAACTCCCTTTCTAAAGGCAGATGGAGAAGAGGAGCTGAAGACAACTCCTAAGAGTAGGCCTTTGATAACTAGGAAATGATGCATGAGAAGACCCTATTCCATCCACACAACCGGGGGGGAGGAAAGAGTTTTTAAAAAGGGTATCCATAAAAGGCATCTCCTGCAGATCTTAACATCCAAACAAGTTCATAACAAGAAAGGTTACTAACAAATCATTAGGACCTGACCATCCAGAGTATTAAAAATTAAACTCTTATGTGTTGAATTCTGCCCATAGGCTAGCCAATAGGAACCAATGCACTTTTTTTAGCATAAACATAATATGTTCCTGGAATTTTGCACAGTTTAACAATAAAGTAGCTGTATTTAACATTAATTGCTTTGGGACACTGTTCAAAGATTGTTTCACACACAGCATATTGCAGTGCTCTAAACACAACCAAGACATAAATAATTGTGCCTGTATTTAAGTTTTACTGAAAGGTTGCAGGCATAATTCTGCAAATGTGCTTCTTGGCACATTGGGATACAAAGACAGATGTGGAGAAAGACTTTCCCAGATTATAAACCTGGTCTTTCAGGAGAGTTTAGCCAATCCTGCTTTAACTTCTTAAGTATGGACAGCTAAGAAAACTACACTTCAGAAACTAAACAATGAAAACATTGCACCCGTTCTATTAAAATGCAGCAAAACTAGAGAAAAGAGAAATTGTTCTTCCTCTTTCTACTAAGAGCTGTGGTGGCACAGTGGTTAGAATGCAGTACTGCAGGCTACTTCTGCTGACTGCCAGCAGTTCAGAAGTTTGATTCTTACTGGTTCAAGGTTGGAAGCCTTCCATCCTTCCGAGGTTGGTAAAATGAGGACCCAGATTGCTGGGGGAAATATGCTTGCTTAGAGAGGGCTGTAAAGCATTGTGAAGCGATATATAAATCTAAGTGCTATTGCTACAACCAAATATAGACCAGCAAGAATGGTTATATATTCTTTGATCTCATAGCCAAAAAAGAAATCTTATCTTGTGAACCTACCGTCCATTTTTTGAAGGGCAAGGTCACATAAAAAAAAGTTATTCAGTGTATATGATATTATACAGAAATAAATTCTTAAGACTCTTCCAGGCCTTAAACTTCAAACCCAGTTCTTTTTATTTGGCCTAGAAATAGACTCAGGCCAGTGGATATGATATGATATTGGAGTAATGTGAAATTGTTATAATGTAGTATTATTATCAATGGATTAAAATGTGTTTCTCCATCATTACATAAATCAGTCTGCAAACATGTTGTGTAACTAGATTTGGTTTATTTCTTTACTTTGGAGGACAAGACATTTTTATGACAGAGGAACAGAAAAAATATTACAATGCAATGAAAAAGCTGGGTTCCAAAAAACCACAAAAGCCGATACCAAGACCAGGGGTAAGGATTTCTATTTTACATATTTTCTACTCTCAGATCACGCTTTCTAACTCTTAGCATCTTGTTCAAAATAATAAAAAATGCACTTCCTGTAATGATATGTGGACAATAAAATATCTGAAATTGTAGCTTGTGTTATCAAATTTAGGATTATTTTTTTTTAAATTTGATTTATATGCCGCCCTTCTCTGGAGACTCAGGGCGGCTTACAATGCATTAAGCAATAGCCTTCATACTTTTGTATATTTATACAAAGTCAGATTATTGCCCCCACAAACTGAGTCCTCATTTTACCTACCTTAGAAAGGATGGAAGGCTGAGTCAACCTTGAGCCTGGTGAGATTCGAATTTACAGTAATTGCAGACAGCTGGCGTTAATCACAATGCTTTTAGTCTGCTGAGCCACCAGGCCCTTTTTTGGTTCAAGATTTGATTTTTTCTTTTGATTTCTCCCACTTAGTATAGTTGTCCATTCACAAAAGAAGAGGGCATAAACATTAGTAAAACAAACAATAAAGGAAAAATAATCCAATACTAAATAAAAATATTTTTGCAATATTAATATTTTTTGTTTTTGTTTTTACAGAATAAATTTCAAGGATTAGTCTTTGACTTTGTAACCAAACAAGCCTTTGACATCAGTATCATGATTCTTATTTGCCTTAATATGGTCACCATGATGGTTGAAACAGATGACCAAAGTAAAGAAATGGAAATTATTTTATCCAGGATTAACTTGGTATTCATAATTCTTTTCACTGGAGAATGTATACTCAAACTGATTTCACTTCGTTATTATTATTTTACCATTGGCTGGAATATTTTTGATTTTGTCGTTGTCATTCTCTCCATTGTAGGTAAGAACCATTTGTTTCCAAAAATACATAATGGCTAAACTCATTTACTAAATTTCATTAGATTTCTAATTCAGTAATAGTTATGTAATCTGATTCACTAAAGTCGTGTACTAATTTTTTAGATTCCTGATTCAGTAATAGGATTGTTTTATATATATTTCAAATAATATTTAATAGCAATTGGCAAATAGAATTAAATATAAGCATGACCAAAATGTTATATTGAAACACATAGAAAAATGCCAGCCTTCAAATACAGACTTTTGCTGGATTTAAGTGCAATCATGATAAATTCATGGGTTGCTAGCAGCTGTATGCTATCACCTGAATCACAGGCAGTTTATCTTAAATTGGCAGCTTCTGGCAAACAATAATGGAAAGTTATTACCTGATGCATCTTATTGGACATTGTATATCATAGAATATTATATTATATATTGCATAGGTCATCATCCTGATCCAACAAAGCTCTTAATATAGTTTAATAAACAAGTATAAAGGTTGAGAATTCTCCTTTCCTTCTCACAACTCACAATGGCCGAAGAGGTTATAGAAAAAATGCTTTTAAAAGGCTCTGACGATCCCAGCTGAGCCACGCGATCATCAGAGGCTTTTTTTTTTACTTTTAAAAGCATTTTTTTGGTCAAAGAGGTTGTAGAAAAAATGCTTTTAAAAATAAAAATAAAAAAAGCCTCTGATGATTGCGCGGCTCAGCTTGGAATGGGGGGGGGCAGGGATTTTTGCTACCGGTTCTCCGAACCACCCACCTCCATCGCTACCATCCGAACCGGGAGCATTTCACCCCTGAGTAAAGTGTATAATGGGCCAGAACACACAGTTGTAGTTGATTGGTTGGAGAGTGGATTGGGGGGGGGGCTCCTGCATGAGGCAACCTATATTATGATTGGTTGCTGGGGGAGTTTGCTTTTTCCCGCTTTTTTTCTTCTGTGTGCTTAATGTGCTGTACTGTGATTTACCTGGTGATTTACCTCATGATGTAGTGAGGTGCCTGACTATCTTGTTTACTGTAAATATAAATGTAAAATTATATAAAACTACAAGTTCATGTCAGCATCTCTGACTCCATTTGGACAATGGCTATGCAATTCCCTGACAGAGCCAAATAATTTTTACACATTTTCTTATGTTTGCAAATTGATTGTTTTAGAATTTGCCTAAAATAATGAAGATTAACAGTCTTAATTTGTCTTATCTGTTAAGTTTATTGCTTGCTAATTTTTTTCAACATACCAGCATCTCATCAATATGTAGCTTTTGGACTAATAGAGTTTACATTTAGGAATCATTTAATACTATTTTAATTTTGTGTGCTTAATGCCCAGCTGAGAAATAATGGGCACTGTAAAAGTGACACTTTTAAATATTTTTTTCTTTTGCAGGAATGTTCCTCGCAGAGATTATTGAGAAATATTTTGTGTCACCTACCCTGTTCAGAGTGATCCGACTTGCCCGGATAGGTCGAATCCTGCGTCTAATCAAGGGTGCAAAAGGGATCCGCACTCTGCTTTTTGCCTTGATGATGTCTCTCCCTGCCTTGTTCAACATCGGCCTCCTGCTTTTCCTGGTCATGTTCATCTACGCCATATTTGGAATGTCCAACTTTGCCTATGTGAAAAGAGAAGTTGGTATTGATGACTTGTTCAATTTTGAAACTTTTGGCAACAGCATGCTCTGTCTTTTTCAGATCACCACCTCTGCTGGCTGGGATGGCTTGCTAGCCCCCATCCTGAACAGCGGGCCTCCAGATTGTGACCCTGAGATAGACCATCCGGGTAGCTCAGTCAAGGGAGACTGTGGCAACCCTTCGGTTGGGATTTTCTTCTTTGTCAGCTACATAATCATCTCATTTTTAGTTGTAGTAAACATGTACATTGCTGTCATTTTGGAGAACTTCAGCGTCGCTACCGAAGAAAGTGCTGAACCTTTGAGCGAGGATGATTTTGAGATGTTCTATGAAGTCTGGGAAAAGTTCGATCCAGATGCATCCCAATTTATAGAATATAGTAAACTTTCTGATTTTGCTGCTTCGTTGGATCCTCCTCTTCTGATTGCCAAACCAAACAATGTTCAGCTAATTTCGATGGACCTGCCCATGGTGAGTGGTGATAGAATTCACTGCCTTGACATCTTGTTTGCCTTTACAAAGCGTGTCTTGGGAGAAAGCGAAGAAATGGATTTACTCAGAGTGCAAATGGAAGACCGCTTCATGGCAGCCAACCCATCCAAAGTTTCATACGAACCAATCACCACCACATTAAAGCGCAAGCAGGAGGAGGTGTCCGCTACCATCATCCAGCGGGCTTTCAGGCGTTTCCTCCTAAAACAGAAAGTTAAAAAAGTAACTTCTATGTATAATAAAGAAAAATGCAGAGATGGTGACGTCCTACCAATCAAAGACGGGACCTCTGATAGGTTTAATGGGAATTCCAGTCCAGAGAAAACCGATGAGAGCTCCTCGACCACTTCTCCCCCTTCCTATGATAGCGTTACTAAGCCAAACAAAGAGAAATATGAAAAGGGCAAAACAGACAGAGACCTTAAAGGGAAAGATATAAAGATTAGCAAAAAGTAAAAACCGATCATTTCTATTATTTGTTCTTCAACTTGTTTACAGCCTTTGAAGGGGATGTATTTGTCAGCAAAGCTCCACTGGAGAGTTATGCTAAATTGTCAACGTTTATAAATATATTACATGTATATCTATGTATAGATATTGACATAACACAGATATGTCTCTATATAGATATGTACGCTCTCTTTCAAGGTTAGTGCCTATAACAAGACAGTGACCCCCTAGTCACCGGACCTTAACTCTGGAAAACGGAGCGGCAGCCTCCTGTTGCTCTTGCTGAAAAAAAGAAAAGGGAAGGCATTGCTGCTCAGCATCAAGTGGGCAAAGCTATCATAGGTTCAGCAAGTTACAAGACACTTAATTCAGTAAGTGTTCTCACTGTGTGTTCTTCAGCAGCCGCGTTCGCCATATTTTTCGCATGTGAACACACACAAACACAAACACACAGTACAGGTGAATTTATCATTTTTTTAAAGAAAAAAAAAAACCAATCCGCAGGGTGTTTATATGTGACTATTTTTGTAAATGGGGTTTCTGTTGTGGTGGGAGGGAAGGGATGGGGGAACCAGGGCCAGGTGTTCCACTGTCTAATTCTCTATAACCTTCAGACGGGGGAAGCAATTTGCTCGAAGAGATGCTGTGCGCTCCTAGATTGTGCGTGGAACCCTTGTGGCATCATCCAGCACAGGTTTTCACTGTGTTTTGCTGTTTTAGCTTGAAGCAATTTTATACTTTCTGTTAAGAGGCAACCTCTTATCCCTACTATTTATACCAATTCCAAGATGCATTATTTTTTACGCTGGTTACCAAATCAGAAAGAGTGCACATGCACATACTTGTGTTTGTGCCTGTGTGTGCGAGCACATGTTGTGCACACACACACACACACACACAAGTAGTATCTTAGTCCTAGGGATTTGTCTCAACCCAGTCCCTGTGCCTAAGATAGGATTATCTTTGCACTGAACAATCACTTAGGTCACAGGTTAATTCCTAACACATTGCAGCAGATAGGAACAAGGAATACACAAATGTCCTGTGTCAGAGGCGCCTGTTGATTCAAGGTAACAGTCAAAATGTTCAGAGGAGACAAATAATGAACAAAAATGCCCTGAAAGAATGGACAAAAAATAGGATTCTATTTTGTCTTAAAGTACTGCGTAATCAGCTGCTCTCGGTATAGTATATGCCTACATTCTTTTTTAAAATACTCCTACAGGTATAAGTTGTAAAGACCTGTTTGTACATATTTGAGCCTACAGTTGTTCTGGACACAATGTTATTTCTGCAAACATGAGCCCTAGCAGGCCTAGCTTGCAAACTATTGACAAATCCTTGTATTCTGTGCCATTATAGATAATTTGGAAGATGCTGAAGCCTGTGAATATTGCCATTGCTACCAGTGTGCTGTGATCCTTCTACCAGTTACCTTTGTTTTCTATAGGAAGTGCTGAATGAAAACGGTTCTTCCTATCACTGAATTATATAGTTTGCCGTTATTGATCACTTTTCTTTTCTTTTTAGCTTTTTGAAATTTGAAGTGGCTACTCAATGGTGTAGACCAAGGCTATATATGGACTAATGCAAACTGTTTAACCTGTTGACAGTGCGATTAGCATATATAAATAATGTAAAAATAAAAAGCAGTATTGATGTACATAAACTACATCTGTGCTCTTTTTGTTTCCATGTTTTATTTTATTTTCATTGTATCTTTCAATTGAGCTCTCCACAGTACTAAAATAAAATAAAATAATTAATGACCATTTGTTTATTTCTTTGTTTAATGACCCAAAGATTCACTTAACAACCATGTTACTAATTTAACAGTGATTCACTTAACAGCTGTCACAAGAAAATTCGTAAAATGGGACAAAACGTAACAACTGTCTCACTAAGCAACAGAAACTTTGGGCTGAATTGTGGTCTTAAGTCAAGGACTGCCTGTCTTGCACCTAGGCGAGGAAGCATTTCCTTTGAAGGAGCAGGACTACAACTTTGGGGTCCTTGGAGATTCATGCTGATAAGTGGAAGCCATGACCGGGAAAGTGGGGGGGGGGGAGACTTTTCCACAATTCTGATTGATATACCCATTGCAGCTTTACAGGAGCAGATAGTAAGTGGGAATGACTTTGGGACACAACAGGAAGAGCCACAGGCTGAACAACTCTCATGTAAAAGATTTCTCATCCCACAGAAGGGGGATGGTATGGGAAATGTTTCAAAAGGGACCCTCCCTACTTTTCTGGACAGTTAAAAAAAAAAAGGAAGAAGTGTTGCAAGAAACTGCTAATATAATCTTACCATAAAACTAGAGTAGTACTCATGGCTGTGCTCCTCAAAGATAATTAGGAGGACTCAACCAAGTAATATGTTCTCCTTACCACCCATATGGATTATTGCAATCCATTCTACAGGCGGTTTCTTTTGAAGACCATTGCAGAAACTGCAGTTAGTTTCCAAAGCCCTAATCTGCTAGCTGGTGGGCACCTGTCATGAATGCACATTAATCCCTGTGCTACAGGCCCTGCATTGGCTTCTAGATGCAGTCAAGGTTCAAGTTCTGATTAATAAAACACTACGTGGCTTTGAGCCCAGATGTCTCTAGGAGTTTATTTTCCAACTCGAATTGACCCACTGGATTTGTTTGTTCCGGGAAAAGCTGCTGGTGGTAGTTCACTTCCATGAAGTGGGAAAAGCTGAGATACAGAAGTGTTGCTTTTCTGTGATAGCACCTGCTTTTTGGAGTAGCGTCTTGGTTGAGTTTAGTCTGGCCCTCCTCGGAATGTCGTTTTGGAAGATGTTGAAAACGAAGCTCTTCCAGTGAAACTTGTGATGTAAGCCGCGGCCATTTCGGGATTGGGGGTAAAGGGAGATTTGCTGGCTTTAGCTTTGATTTGACTATGTTTATGAAATTGTGTTATGCTTTAATTTATGTGCCTTTATTAACTGCTAGTGAAAGATCAAGGCCACAAGTGAAGGTCCAATTAAATTGATTTACTGCTAATAGCAATAGCACTTAGACTTATATATCGCTTCACAGTGTTTTACAGTCCTCTCTAAGCAGTTTACAGAGTCAGCATATTGTCCCCAACAATCTGGGTCCTCATTTTACCCATCTCGGAAGGAGGGAAGGATGAGTCAACCTTGAGTCTGGTGGGATTCAATCTGCCAAACTGCTGGCAGCTGGTGATCAGCAGAAGTAACCTGCAGTACTGCACTCTAACCACTGCACCACTGCGGCTCTAATCATATGTATGCACAAGAATCTTCTCAACTAATGGTTAACCCCTGCTTGGGGTTAGATAAAGATCAACAGAATTCAAGGTAGGTTGAACTTAGTTCCATTGTGACTCATAGGGATTCTAGGCTGATTCCTCTTTTAACTCCACCTCCAGAGTCTTCTGTTTCTTTTACAACTGCAAGTTGAATGGATAAATGAATGAAGCCCATTATGCCACTGTTGCCTCGGGGAGCAATAGCAAATATAATGATGAACGAGATAAATGTCAAATATTATTCTCTTATGCTATGATTTAATTTTAAGCAGCCCAACCAGAAAATTACCAAGATATTTTTCACTGTTCTAAAGTCGAGTTCCCTTTCCTTCTCAATATGCAAAACCACAAAATGCAAGCATCCACTGAAAGAAATTCTACAATTGATTCCAGTTGAGTTAATTCATTACCGCTCATTTGTTTATTCTGGATCTTACTGAAAATCATTATTTGCCACTTGCTGTTTCATTTCAAATGAGGGTTTGAATGAAGCCATGCTGATTTATTCTGAAATAATCCTCAGAACCCACAACCAATATTCAATGTGTGGTGCTGAGCTACTGATTTATCTTTACTCATATAAATCCAAGCATTTTGACCTTGGTAAAAACATGCTGCAGTCAGCATCATAGAGGGAATAAAGATACTGTGGTGAACTGAAATGCATTACCAT